GTGGTAGACAATTGCAAGCGAGCTAGCATGAGCTACTATTATTTATATTAATTTTTAACTAAATCACTAATCGTGAATAACTAATAAGTTTGTGATTCTGTTTGTTTTTAACATGACGTTACATATGACGCGCCAACGCGTTTTCGTTCGTTTTATAATAAAATTATTAGCATTTATTAACTAAGTTAATGAGTTACGCTATATGATCAAGGTCAGCTAATGTGAGACCTGCGAGTTTTTGTCGCCTAGTTCCGTAATAGTCAAGATCTTGTGAATTGACATTGATAAACATTGGTAACATGATGGCATATCTTAGTGGCAGCTTCGCAATAAAACGGTATCGTGATCCTTGCCTCTGATTTTCCGCATGCCAGATATTATATCGTATTTAATTTCGTTTTAATTAATCTATAATGGCAATTGTACAATATTAAAATTTTAATATTCTCTGTCCTATTAATATTATATTTGTTTGTTAACTGAGTTAATTTGGCGGTTTTAAGGCTAATTCTTATTATACGACACAGAGTCAATAATTAAAAACTCATTTCTCAAACATTTTTCAAAGAAAAGAAACAGAACTGAATAATCCCATAGAATATATACACAATACTAGAGCACTCAGAGAGCACAGACCTCCGCCAAGGCAGCTGAATTGTCTCAATGTGAAATTTTTTATTAATTAATTAATTAATTAAGTCAAAAAATTAATTAATTAATTGGATCCGGATCACCACCAAAATGTAATCAATTCTAAGTTACCCCTAGAGAGAGAGAGAGAGAGAGAGAGAGAGAGAGAGAGAGAGAGAGAGACAGAGAGAAAGCACGTGAACGTGTTAGAGCGGGCCGATAAGCTGTAAGTCAGTAATCAACGGTTGGTAATGGAAAAACAATTGCTAGAGTTATAGTGTTAATTTGCTGAGCTAGCCTCCGGGCGTTCGTGCATGTGTGCGTGCGCGCGTGTGTTCGTGCGTGTGTTCGTCAGCTAGCTGCTAGCAGACAGCACTAATAGCCTCTCGTTCGTCTATCAATCAGCATGTTGTTGCTGTGGGTGTATTCAGGCAGGCGTTAACACGATTCGGTCTGCCACCGCCTCCCGCCCCTCCCTAACTCCGTAATACCGTATGATTGCATTACGGGTGATGATCCATGCATGTAGGCACATACCCAGTGAGCATACCTCTGCTTATGTGAGCGTGCGTGCGTGTATGTGCGCGCGTGCGTGTGTGTGTGGTTATGTGTACGCGTGCGTGTGTGCATGCGTGTGTGCGTACCTGTTCGTGTGCGTGCGTGCGTGCGTGCGTGCGTGCGTGCGCGCGTGCGTGCGTGCGTTAGGGAGTGTAAATGTGCACTGTGCGTGTAGAAGTTTGCATTCTGGTCGCTAGCTGGTAGAGCTGTAAGACGCTAGCTAAGATCGGTTAAGACGTCGTGCGCGCATGCGCAGACGTCGCCTGGCTTCGTGATTGGAGAAGTAATTGGAACGTTATTGGAATTAGTGGCCGATCTTAGAGTTTACTCATCGCTGAAGAGGAGAGGGCAAGAGGAGGAGAAAGGGGAGGAGGAGAAAGGGGAGGAGGAGAAAGGGGAGGAGGAGGATGAGGAGAAAGCACCGGCTAACAAGGAGACCGTGACATGTGATGAAAAAGAAGAAGAAAAAGATGATGATGAGGAGGAGGAGGAGGACGACGACGACGACGACGACGACGACGACGACGACGACGACGAAGGGCGATGATGAGGATGAAGAAGGGGTGGAGACGAAGAACTAGGGGGAGAATTGTTTGAAAAAACGCGGTTTCAGTACATAGTTAGCTGCGTGCGTGTACGTGAGTGCGTGCGTGCGCTTGCGTGTGCGTGCGCGTGCGTGTGCGTGAGTGCGTGCGCGTGCGTGTGCGTGCGCGTGCGTGTGTGCGCGTGCGTGCGCGTGCGTGCGCGCGTGTGCGTGCGCGTGCGCGTGCGTGTGCGGGCGTGCGTGCGCGCGCGTGTGATGTTCAGCTGCGTGGGTTCACTTCGCAGTATGTTCACGTGCAGTGATGTGCTTTTTCCTGCATGCGTCCTCCCTTTCATTGGCTTATATATTCCCTTCCCTCGTCTAGTGCGAAAATGATACGATCTTTGAAATTATGGCGTAGCGTAGCAACTGTCAAGACGAATTAGTGCGTTATCTAGGATCTTCTAGCATAGCGATAGCGCACAAGATGCGTAGTGTGTGTGTGCTTCACGATGGTTTCTTTACCAGCATATATAGCTAGATGTTTTAATTGACGTCGGCTTACGGCGTGGAAGCCAATAAACTCGGAGCGGAGCGGTGGCGTTTATCCGCGTTTGTTGGCGCGTGTGAGGCTGTTTACAGGTGCAGGGCGCGTTGTAAGCAGATTACGTTCGTATACATTACAGCCTGCGGTACCCGCGCGCGTGCGTGTGTGCGTGCGTGCGTGTGGGTGGGTGTGGGTGTGGGTGCGTGTATGTGTGGGTGTGCGGTTCGCCGCTGTTTCCGGGTTCGTATCTCATCAACGACTCCCCTCAGGCGACTGCGGGCGTGTGAGTGTAGGGGAGGCGTGTGTGTGTGTGCGTGCGTGCGT